GGTTTCAATTGAAATACCGTGGCATTTTATCTGCTTCCATCGATCGGGATATGCGAACGCTGTCAGGACACCGGATGGCTGACAAGAATGGTTGGGTACCAAGAATCGCAAATACCGCAGTCCTCAGTCACTGCTTTGCAATCCCTTCTTTACAACCAGAACCAAGTATGTCTCACTCTCAAGCAGCCGGTGGCTGCTTCGGTCTCGCCTTGGTGCAGTACGTATCGCTGGGTTTGCCTTACTCTCCAGCAGCCGGTGGCTGCCTCGACCTCGCCCTGGTGCAGTACGTACCGCTGGGTCTGCCTCACTCTCAAGCAGCCGGTCGCTACTTCGGCCTCGCCCTCCGCGGCTCCTTTCCGCCGTCCTAGAGCTTCTCATCGCGCGCCGGCTGATGCCGCTCCCGCCCGCTTCCACGCCGCCAGCTGGCGTCCGGGGGTGTGACCTTGGGTCACGACACGACCTTCTAAACGTTGTCGCCCGGTTGGCTGGTGCAGCATACGGGGCAGCATCACCGAGTTACACCCTACAATTCACATCACGTTTGAGCCCTACAAATCTCTCCGTTTCAGGTCAATACTTCTCCGACGTGTTTCTGACCGCAGGTCTGATGCCCAAAATGGGGCTATGCAGCTTGGTGACCTGGAATCGTCGCTCGGTAGCTGACGCCAGTATCGCGACAGGCTCCCGACATGATGGTGGAACACCAGAGGACAGGTAGGCCAATGCGGGCCCGACACGGCGACAGCACTCGACGGCCACCGAGCGGATGCCGTTGCAGCACCAGCACGTCAGCTTGACGACCCCTGGGGCGGCACCAGCACGTCAGCTGACGGCCCCTGGGGCGGCACCAGCACGTCAGCTGACGGCCCCTGGGGCGGCACCAGCACGTCGGCTTGACGACCCCTGGGGCGGCACCAGCACGTCGGCTTGACGACCCCTGGGGCGGCACCAGCACGTCAGCTGACGGCCCCTGGGGCGGCACCAGCACGTCGGCTTGACGACCCCTGGGGCGGCACCAGCACGGAAGCTTAACGACCCCTAGGGCGGCACCAGCACGGAAGCTTGACGACCCCTGGGGCAGCACCAGCACGGAAGCTTGACGACCCCTGGGGCGGCACCAGCACAGAAGCTTGACGACCAATGGGGCGGCACCAGCACGGCAGCGATCGCGCTCCAACGAAAACTAAACAGCCACCACACGGCCAGCGGTGCACCACAGCAGGGCGGCACCGAGCGCGGCGGGCGCGCCGCCGTGGTGCAGTCGGCAGCGGCCAGGGCGCACCCGTCTCTCCTCGGTGCCGCAGCGCCGGCGCCGGCGCCGACTGGGCCGCAGCGGCGGGATGCCGTGCGCCGCAGAGGTGGTGTCGTGACGCAGTCCGGATATGAGACGGCCAGCGGGCCACGACAGCGGCCCGGCGCTAGCCCCGGCCACACCCGACACCGGCCGCAGCCGGAAAACACTGGCGCGGCGTGTGCAGCGTCACGGCCCAAAGACGCGCGAGGTCAGGCGTCAGCCGTGTACAGCGTCACGACCGGATGACGTGCGAGGTCAGGCGCCAACCGTGTACAGCGTCACGACCGGATGACGCGCGAGGTCAGGTGCCAGCCGTGTACAGCGTCACGACCGGATGACGCGCGAGGCCAGGCGCCAGCCGTGTACAGCGTCACGACCGGATGACGCGCGAGGCCAGGTGCCGGCCGTGTACAGCGTCACGACCGGATGACGCGCGAGGCCAGGCGCCAGCCGTGTACAGCGTCACGACCGGATGACGCGCGAGGCCAGGTGCCAGCCGTGTACAGCGTCACGACTGGATGACGCGCGAGGCCAGGCGCCAGCCGTGTACAGCGTCACGGCCCGATAACGTGCTAAGTCAGGCGCCAACCGTGTACAGCGTCACGACCGGATGACGTGCGAGGTCAGCCGCCAGCCGTGTACAGCGTCACGACGTGATGACGTGCGAGGTCAGGCGCCAGCCGGGGACAAACACCCGGTGACCAGCTCGGCCGAGCACTGTAGTTCCGTCCAGGCGCCACTTTTTGGGGATGGCGTGTCTCGCAATGATCGATGTTGTAGTCTGGACTTCGTTAAATAGGCGACACGTCGTAATGGCAGTTCAGTGTTCTAAAGAGCCAACGCCTGGTATTTGAAATTATATTTTAAACTAAGTTGCATGCTTTAACTAAATATTCATAACAGAGAGAGAGCAGAACGCTATTCGAGCCATGCCTATGTATAGCTCTATGTAGGCGGAAAGGGTGGCCACCTGTAACTATGCAGAGATAACCTCTACGGAAAAAAGGTAAGTAGGCAAGGACCTTGACTGGCAGCAGCAGCGGACCGCAAAACTTCAGTGTCGGATGGCTGCTGAAAGCGTACGGTTCAGTTCTGTCTGGGCACGGGTCGAACACGACTTACACGAACAGACACGCCATATGCTACAGAGTGCTGTCGCCGTGGTCAGATTAGGTGCTCTGGCGCTGATGGAGCAAACATGGCGCCTTTTGTGCCCGGAAGTAACGCCCTTATAGAGGCCCTGAGGCTTCCCCACCAGAGCAGAAGGCAGGAAGTGATCCCCTTCCTCTACGGCGTTAACGCTACACTTATGGCGCTGGATTCACAAAAGCGCCGCACAGGCCCTATCCTTCGAAGCGTTAGGACAATAATGTCATTTTCAGACATAAATATGCCCCCACAGTATAAACTATGAACAGTAGACAGATATGCTGCTATTTAAGGTGGCCAGGTGCACTCCACAACGCCTTTGCTCAGAGTTTGTGTTGCCAGGCGCATCAGCATAGGCGCGCCGACCGCAGGTCCACGCCCGATGATTTGACTGACAGAGCCACCTGGGTGGAGGATATAGAACTGAAGCTTGCAGCGCTGCTCGTAATGTGCATGCCGCCTGCGCAATGTCCATGATCAGCCGTGGGTCACAGTCTGGTATGGCTTGGAATCGATACCGTTCTAGGCATCTTAGACCCGGACTCAGACTTAGACCCGGACTCAGATCACGAGTCCCAATGTTCGAGACTCTGACTCTTGCTCATGGCATGTGGAAATAGTTGACTCGGTGTTCGGACTCGGGACATCCTGACTCAGACTCGGACTAGGACTCAGGTTATCGGACTCAACTATTTGCCTGCCGTAGTTGGACCCACCTTGTGACCCGTGTGAGAAGTTCCTAACGAACGGTTTCTGCAGGCTCTTATGCCGGCTGCTTACGACCTGCTTACGTCGTAGCAGGTGCACGGGTAGCCAGTTGGATACTCTTCGCTCGGGCGGGGCTCAATTTGACCCCCTGCGTGCTAAAAATCTAGATAGCTAGAGGCACTGAATTCACAGGGTGTGTTGGTCTGTGTGAACTCAGTTGTGTCAGC